GGAAAAAATTCAAAATATATTTAAGACATAAAAAATGTTAAAAAGCAACATCATATATAATTAGTAAAAATGTACATTTTTTTGGCCAATTAACCCGTTTTACCAGCTGCAATTCAGCTGCTGAAAAAAACCCACTTTAAACAGCCTCAGAGAATAAGCCCCAAATTGACTTTATTACGTTATTACTAATGAAAATTCTGACCTGAGAATCCCTACGATTAAGTTCTTAAAGCTTGGTGCAACTACTATTAAACCCAATGAACTAGAATTACCACTACTATTTTGGAAGAAAGCAATTTTTTTAGAAGGTGGGCCCAAAAGTGGGACAGGAGAGAGGAGAATTAATTTTGTATCCTACTGGGAATCCTGATGATAATGCTTCATTTCCAATTCTAGTTGTAAATATTCATTGTTTTGAGTTAACAGTCTTTTGTGTCAACTCAAGATTGGAGGGTTAAATCCACTTAAGCAAGTGGGTGACTTCATTTCTGATTCACATTAGCAGCCCCAAAGGAAAAGCAGTCAGCCAGTACCATCAGTTAGTTAGTTATTTTAAAATATCAGCTACTTCCACAGTATTTTCTGAGAGGGATCATTAGTCCAAATCAAAATATGAAGCAAACCTACAGCGTGATATAAAATGGCTTAAAAGCAGTATAAGACCAAGGCAGAAGGAAGACGCTTAACTTTCAAAATGAAATGTAGCTTGGTAAATGTTCACGCCAAGTTGGGAAGCCTGAATCACATTCATTTTGCTGAAGCCATTTAAAACTCAATGAAACATATTTTGCCAAAAATACTGTTACACCAAAATATTCCACACCATTGGAAAGAACATAAAGCGATTCAGTTGACCTCTAAGCCACAGGCCATGTCTGCTGAAGAAGAAAAACGAAGCCTCCAAACTGACAGGGATACAAAAGCCAAACATCAACAGCCTGCTGAGAAGTGAGAGCACTGGCCAGGACTCCCAGGAACACCTTGCAGTTAGCATCAGGGAAGGCAGGGACTGACCGTTCAAGGACTCACTATAAACTCTGATTGCCAAGGCCAAAGAAGAAAAACATAAAGAATACAGAAGCAACTTCAAATTCGCTGAAAAAGTAAAATGCTTCCAGAGACATTATTTTTAAAATTTCTGCTGGTAATGTGAGAAAGATGGTGAAATTTCTTCAAAATGCTTAGGAGTTTTAACACATCAAAACTGACCACTCTGTTTACATTATGAAACACCAGTCACTGTGGATCCTTTCTTTAAAAAAACAACAATTTTATTTTACTGCATTTTTTTCTCTCAAGATATCTCATAAATTCTAAAGATTAAGCCTTAAGAAGAAGATCCAAAGCAACACAATTACAAAATGAACATCATTTGAAATATCACATGGCTTTAAAACTCATAGATCCATAAAAAATGTTAGTGATAAATCTCATCATTTTCAAAGATGGTTCTGATGTGTGGGCCTGATCTTTAAAGGTTATTTGGTTTTCATTATTAGACACATTTTTCATCTTATTTTGCCCCTCAGTGTGTTGAGTTGTTAGGGCCTGCCACCTAGTGGTGATATGTTCTCATAACCAATAAGATGCAATAGGAACTGACATTTTTGAAGAATGCCAAACAGCAGCCAAATCAGAGGAACAGAAGTCACTAAGATCAGGCTTACAAATAAAGCAAGCCTCCATCATCTACTAAGTAATTAACTCACTGTAACTTAACAGGTAAAAATGATTTATTTCAGGCATGACTAGATCGCTAAGCAGTTTTCACAAATACAATTCTATTTAACCAACTAACACAATGCTAAGCTTCTTTCTTCAAGAAAGCTCAGAAATTCAAAGAAACCATCACCCTAATCTTGGAACTTTTGGCTATATAAAATAAAGATATTGAAACTCACAGGGTCATTATGTAGCCATTGTAAATGATAACTACAGAGAACACAAAGTAACCCAGAAACACATTCCCAATATAACCAAGTGAAAAGGCAGAATGTAACCATGTTTCCACTAAAACTGAGTAAGAATATGCCTGCACAGACAAAGAATAGAAATATATCAGAATTAAAAGAACTGTGAAAGATGGCAGGATCCAGGGTGATTTAATACCTAGCAGAATACCTAAAACAGAGCAGACAACAAATGTTTGCTGAATGAATAAATGAGTGAGCTTTTAAGGTTCTTTCATATTATTTTGCTATTTCCTTTCCAATGAAAAATGCTAGCAGTCTGAAGGTTTCGAAGTCTTCAATCTAAACTAGTAATGTTTTAGGGCTGGCCCGTGGCTCACTCGGGAGAGTACAGTGCTGATAACACCAAGGCCACAAGTTCGGATCCCTATATAGGGATGGCCGGTTCGCTCACTGGCTGAGCGTGGTGCTGACAACACCAAGCCAAGGGTTGAGATCCCCTTACTGGTCATCTTTTAAAAAAAAAAAAAAGAAAAGAAAAAGAAATAAAGAAATAAAATAAAATAAAATAAATAAACTAGTAATGTTTTAGGATACAATTCCCCCAAGTAAGTTTCCCAGAACACTTTTGCAGCAGGGTGATGCACGAGAAAAGGGTATCTTGTGAAATAAAAAACACCTAACAATATCTTAGAAATTCACTGGGCACATTAGCATATCACAGGACCCAAAGAGTCCTACACCAAGAAGAAACCCATTTATCTTAATTAACATATTCATCCCCAAACTGATTTGACCACAAAAATCCTTTTATCTGCAGAATACCTACTAACTTTAGCACATAGGGGCATAGTTAAGAGGAGGCAGAGGGGACACGTACCCTGGCTCCAGTCCACTGGGGCACCACCAAAGATAACAGCCTGCAAATTCTAGAAGGTGACAGCAGCATGGAGAGGGAAAGGGGGCCACCACCAGCAGAACACATTTTGGGAAATGCTGCTCTCAGAGATCTAACAGAAGTATTGATCAAATGACTGCTGATGTATTTTTAAATGGATTCCAGGGCCGGCCCGTGGCTCACTCGGGAGAGTGTGGTGCTGATAACACCAAGGCCCCGGGTTCGGATCCCATATAGGGATGGCCGGTTTGCTCACTGGCTGAGTGTGGTGCTGACAACACCAAGTCAAGGGTTAAGATCCCCTTACCGGTCATCTTTTAAAAAAAATAAAAATAAAAATAAATAAATAAATAAATGGATTCCACTTTTAGTACCATGTTAAGTTAAAGCAGAAGCCATGCTCTGAAATAACGATAGATAGCCCCAGCCCTCTTTCTAAACAGTTCTTTTGGGACTCATATGAAGAGTCTGTATTTTCCCATAACATACCATCTTTTATCATAGTACAGTTTGCCATCTTCTATCCGTGCTTCAAATCTCTGGGATGGAGACTCTGCAGGTGTGGCAGGCAAGTGTTCAGGAGAGGATGGGGATGCTAGAAGAGCCAAGATATTTAAATGACTAAGCATGTAACAAATATGTGAGTCCACCAGTCAACATGCATTAATTGAAACACTAACAGAATGTGGTCATAATCATGATCATCAAGTCCTTACAGTGTTAACGAATGGGGAGTCAACAAAGCTTTTATATATTACATCTAATTTGATCCTCAAAGCAACCCTGTGAGGTAGCACAGATTAACCTCACCAAACAGAAGAGAAACCTGAGGCTCAGGAACTGTCACAGTCAAATGTGCAAATGCATAAGGTCACTTAGAGCGGGGCTAAAACCTGGTGACCACCAGAAGTTCAAAAGGGCAAGTATTATGAAAATCTCTTTAAAAAAGAAATAATTTCTAGAACTATGGTGGGTTCAAATGATCTAAATTCACACAGTTACTCACATAACCCCCTCCCCATCATGCCTCAGAAGTTCAGGACATCTCTGTGGACCACAGGGGCCCTCAGGAATATATTATCCAGAGAAAGAAGAATCTTGTTTTTCTTCCACAAGACTCAAGGGAGTAGAGGGATGTGTGAGTAATCACAGTGCTTAAAACAAATAAAGACATTACCAATTCAGAATTCTAATTTGCAACCTAGCACGGACATTCAACTGCTATTCTAGAAGGAACCACCATAAACACTGAGCTGGCCACTTCTATAAACAGGGGCTGGGAGCAGCCTACAAGTGCCTTAGGAGAGCCAGGCCATGAGAAAAAAAAACACTGGAACAGTAATGCCTAGGACTTAACTCCAGAAAAACCCCCTGGTTTCATTTTCAAAAATAGATGTGTACTAAAATCTTATGTCTGATGCCTACACAGAAGGAAACCTCTACCAGCCAATCAACTGTCTCTTTCACAATAAATGCTAAGAAAAAGACAAAAATAATGGAGCAGGCAAAAAAAAAAAAATCAGAGAAAGGGCGCACTTAAGGTCCCCTTCAGTTTTCATGATGACTACTCTTAGGCAAACAACGAACATTTTATTTTTGAAAAGTGCAACAATTCCTTGACAAGTATTTGCATGCTTTTCCAACAGCATAATAAAAAGATTGCACAAATGCCAATAACATCATGTACTTACCTGGTCTCTTGGGTGACTTAAGCTGTAGGAAGAACAACAAAAAAGCTTAGAGAAAATCATTCTCTTAGGCAAACAACAAACATTTTATTTTTGAAAAGTGCAACAATTCCTTGACAAGTATTTGCATGCTTTTCCAACAGCATAATAAAAAGATTGCACAAATGCCAATAACATCATGTACTTACCTGGTCTCTTGGGTGACTTAAGCTGTAGGAAGAACAACAAAAAAGCTTAGAGAAAATCATTTCAGATGCAACTTAAGGTGTCAAAGATATCATAATGATTTAACAAGTAACGTGAACAAAGTGAAGCAGAAAACTCATGTCAAATCTGAGCTTTCAAATAAATCAAAAAAATCAAACTGTACCTTATTTAACGTTCTCAGATCCTCCATGATCTGTTCATCTGTTAACAAATAGTTTAGCTGGGGTGTTGAAAGTTAAAGGAATGTGTCTGAAAAGAATGGTTTCCAAGCAAACAGAAATCAACAAAATGGTACCAGTATTTCAGAATTTACAAACTGTGACTACATTAAATGATGTTTTTACAATAACAGTCTACTTCTTTGGAAATTTATAATTCTCCTGCCAAATGTTGTGGTGCCCAGGCATATAAAAGATTTCACATCCCCCACCTTACAAACTGCTATGAGAAGGTGGAACGAGATTCATTAGGTATCTACAATAGTGAGAGCACAAAAAAAATAAAATATCATCCTGAATTTATTAAGTGCTTTTGTTCCAAAGATCTGAAGACTTCCACACAAATTAAGGTAAGGTTAATCGTCCCCAGACACTTAAATCCTTAGTTGTGAAGGTGAAGGGACCTGAAGTTCTGCCCTTTCCTGGTGGCAGACAAACGACTGAAGCATTCTGGGCAAATAGCTATTTATTATCTCCTCAAGAGGGACTGAAACAATACTTCTTTATGTGTCCTGTTCCTGTTACCACTTTTATGATTAAAGGGCTTCTTTATGTCTGACCAAATCTAAATTTGCTTTAATTTAAGAACAGTTTGCAATCCACTATTTCAGGGGTAAAGATAACTGAAGTACATAAAGGCAGATATTATTGTCCTCATTATACTGGCATAAAAATTAAGGCACATCAAGTTTTCAGTTGCCCCTAAATCTTGGACTGTTAAAAGGAGGTTGAACTTGCAACACAAAGTACTTTTCCAAGTAGCTACTTTAAAAATATCTCCTACTAAAAGCAGTAAATAATTGAGGACTCCAACAATAAAATGGCAAATCCCTATCCCATGGATAAATATTTTACATATGCTTTCCAATCAAAATTACTATTTTCTGTAGGACAATGGCCATGTATGAGCATACTTCAAAAAGTTCATGGAAAGATTAGTATTGTCTTTCAATTCTATTTTTTCACAAACTTTTTGAAGCATCCTCATATATTCTATCAAATGATTCAATAGTCTTAAGAAAAAAAAGTGATTAAAGCTTGATGCAAGTGGATATCAGGAGCAGGTTTCCTCCTCTTGTCTGGGATGGGGACAGGATCATTTGGTCGCCTTCGCAACTTTCTGGTCATGATGGGTTTCACTTCCATAGAATCTGTGGCAAGAATGGAATGGGTAACGTCCAACTTCCACTTAAAGCCAGTTAGAATTTCTACAATGTGAGAATATCTGTCCCAGGCCACCCAATCAGAACTCTTTTATTGGGGATGTTTGGTCAACACATGGTCCAGGCCAGATGCTGTTTTAGACTTTAGAAAGGGTCTGTGCTCATAAGGTTCAGAACTGCTAATCTAGGTGCGCCCCCTCTCAGAGATGTAGCCCTACAGTCTAACATTATAGCCACTGTAGGTATCTCTCCAGCACCCTCAGGAACTAGAGGATATTCCTCCCTCTCACAAAATTAAGAAGCCACCAAGTTGCAGGTTCTTGGGATTGGGAGGAGCCTTAAGGTCATCTCAGTTGACTAATTTCTGCTGTTCCCAAAGAGGGTGGTGAACTGAAGCCCACTGGCATAAAAGGCTCTTTTAGAGGCCATTGGCCTCCTTGCAACATTTTTATATTGTCTTCATTTACAAGCTTATTTACAAACTCAGATACTTTCTTCTTTTATCACCTTTTGTAGCTACTTGACTATCAAGAATGAGCTAAGGAAGGCTCACAACAAAAGCCTCTTTTCATTCTTTCTGACTTCTCCCTGCATTCCACGCCTGACTCCCCATGCCTTAAAATCTCTCCTCCCCCAGCCACAGCCGCACAAATCTCTGCTGACTTGTCTCCCTGGGGTCCTTTTATGCTGGCCTGCTCCCTAAATCCTGGTGATCTCTGGGGTCCAGTCAGTCCTCAGCCTGTGTCCCAGCGAATCTCTAATTCCAGCTCCACCCACCCCTCAGAAAAGCAATCTATAGCCGATCCCACAAATCCCTAAATCCTGGTGATCTCTGGGGTCCAGTCAGTCCTCAGCCTGTGTCCCAGTGAATCTCTAATTCCAGCTCCACCCACCCCTCAGAAAAGCAATCTATAGCCGATCCCACAAATTCCAAGCTCCAAACAAATTCGTTTCTTCTCCTTGTTTCCCCTCCCAAGGCTGCCTCTTCCCCCGCGTCTCAGGGGCATCAAATCTATCCATCCTATGCAAGAACAAAATCTGCCCACTGTGATTCATCTTCCTTCACCCAGGCATCAAATTCACCAGATAACGTCAGTCATGCCTCAACTCCACGCCCTTATCTTTTCACATACCTACCTCCACAACCTTCAGTGGTCTCACCCATATCCAGTCTGCCCTGCCCTTCCTCAATGTGATCTTCCTAAGACACAAATCAGATCACTTTGCATAATACTCTTACCAAATATTTCAGTGGCCCATTCTCTACAGGATAAAGGCCAAGCCCCATTTCCCGTCTTTCTCACCTCTTCTTCATTCACACTTAGCATACGTGCAAGCTTTTAGCCATGCTGTTATCCAAAGGCACTATTTATGCCTTCAAGCTTTTGTGTGCCTAGCCTCCTCTTCATAACATCCTTTGAGAAACAGTTCAATACTCCCCATTCTGTGACAGTTTCCACAGGCAGAGACTCATTCCATCTTCCAAGTAAGCAGAGCATTTCTACAAACCTCTACTGCACCAAGTGCCACACTTTATGAGACAATACCTCCATTAGATATTTGAATTCCACCACAGCATGGAATCTGTCCTCACTCCAGCACCTAACAATAGTTCTGGCACACAGTAGGGGCTTCAAAAAGAGTTCTGCAGAACAAGTAAATGAGCCTAATCCTGAGAGAAAGTTAATCCGTGCTTATGCACACTGTCAGCAGAGCCTGCAGCACAATGTAACGGAAGTCTACTACAGCAATGTGCAAGATCTTTTAGTATATAGTAAATGTGCTATACAAAATCGTGCTTATGCACACTGTCAGCAGAGCCTGCAGCACAATGTAATGGAAGTCTACTACAGCAATGTGCAAGATCTTTTAGTATATAGTAAATGTGCTATACAAAATCAAAAGACGTTTCTGCATGCTGCTCTTAAGAGAAATGGGTAAAATTGATTTTTTTTTCATATGAATGGAATGGAGGTAAAATAAAAAACAGATCTAATGAATATTTGTAAAAGTGTACTTGGAAGTGGGGTAGAAGGAAGAGAACACATACTTACACACCCCTGGGAAAAGGGGGGAAGCCTTCTCCCTACAGGAAATCTCTTACCCTGTGCTAAGGTGCTACCTTTCTCCAGTTACTTATTGGCCGGTGGCACAGCACCACAGTTAAGAGCGGGTGTCACACAAACACAGGTCTGTATCCCTGCAGCAGCTGCGCAACCTAAGGCAGGCTACATAAATACTCTAAGTCTCAAGTTTCCTCTTCTAGAGAATGGTAATATCAATGACACCTCCACCCCACAGGGTGTTATGAGAGTTACATGAGATGATACACGTGAAGCCCTTAAGCACAGTGCCTGGCATAACGAGAGTTCAATCAACACTGGTTTTTATTACCATAATTTCAGGCAGGAAAAAACTATAAAAAGATCTTTTTAAAAAGTAAAGGCACAAACAGATGAATAGCAGTTACATACTCAAAAGCAGCTGATGTCAACTGTGAGGCTTGGCAATATTCAGACCTAATTTGGAAAATAAAGTGTGAAGGGAGTTTACCCAATCCAAGAGAGCACCAGAGGAAAAGTACGTAACCTGTGAACATTATGGAATGCTCTGTCCACCAAAGAGAATGGCTGAGTGAGCCCTGCTCTGCAGGCTGCCAAGACTGGAGAGTGGAGAGGGTGGGCCGGGGTGGGGTGAGGGGGGCAGATATGATGGAAGTAAGCCAAGTAAGGATGTTGCTGAGAGGACCTGGAAATAACCAAGTCTAATCATGGCCACTAAACTCAAAAAATCATAACTGCATCACTTGCAAATCAGAAAATATAATTTAATTCTTATGAATTGGTGAAAATTGATCCATTTTATTAGCCTGGTCACAGCAATAATCTGATTAACTTTATCCAAAAGACTACTTCTGTGAAAAAAAAAGGTGCTCTGGAGAAGCCCCTCAAATTAATCAGTATGTCTCCACCACATCTGGGAGAGAGGAAACAGCAGGAGCAGTCTGGCCAGTGGCCCACATGGAGGATGTGATTTGAGGGGGAGATCAAAATATAAGTATCACAGCCCCATATGACACAGTAAGATTATCCACTTAAGTTGTCTTATTCTGATCCCAGGTTTGCCTAGCTGTCTTCTAAGGTAGATTTTTCATAGAGGGATGGGATAGCCTGACCACCTGGATCTGGAAGTTCTGTTTTTCACTGTAAGCCATAGGCTGGCATTGAGTTTACATCAGCCTCCTGTGAGTCTGGCCACTGAGAGTCCCAAGGAGTTCAATCTGGCAAAAATCAAACTTTTAGATCTAAAGCCTTGGAGTATGACAACCCTAGAGAAGATACCTGAACAGGCAGTCAGTCAGTCTTCCTCTCAGACATCATGCATCAACCACATGATACCTCTAACTAGCTTAAATTAGAAGGCCTCTCTAATCCAGAGGACTCTTCATAGGTTTGCTTCAGGGTTGATACCATTTGTAGAATCTCACTGACCATCAAACAATTCAACCAGACTTGGTAGAGTACATGTAACATGCAGACTAGGTATACAACTCCTCTCCAAACCACCTCATATACATGACCTTTAGTAGTGTAAACCCTATCGCTCTGCTCACCAGGAAACCTGATAGATATACGCACGCCCCAGGTAGCACTGGGTCTCCCATCTTAAGAAACAGAAGCATCTAAGAAATCGGAGTGCAGGCTGGATCAGAGCTAGGTAGACTCATATTATAGCACAGTCTCTATGGAGAGATATTCCTGATAAAATTAATTACCTGCAATTAATGTGCAATTACCACTTTACGAGCTGGTCTTTTATTCTGCCCTACCCTAGGCCTACTCAATCAACTTTCAACAGCTCACCTGCGTAAAGTGTACAACTTCAGTAAAATCTTCATTTTAACATACTTTAACCATTAAAGCAAGTACATATTTGTTCAACTGTTAAAAAAAATTAGTTGTAGTGATTCAAAGGAGCATCCTTAAGTAACATAAGTGAAAGAATTTAAAGCCTCTGTAGAGTAAACACCACAGAAGGTGCAATTATCTTCAAACCAGGGGCAGTGCAACACAGGGCTAGAATGGAGGCCCACGGCAAACCCCAGCATACTCACACCCTCTCTCCAGGGGGCTGGCAGGTTCATCAATGTCACAAATCAATGCAGCAGTGGTGACCACAAATGGGTGCCTTGTTGGGGTTGGAGGGGGATAAGAATCAAGGTCAGGTCTTTGGAAACCAAATCAGGGTAGAAATGAAAGGACCAATCTCCATTAGGCCAAAGTTTCCCATAATGAAGGCATGACATTTAAAGAGTGAACCAATCGAACCCTGCTCTCTGCATCCTCAAACACATTAACAGGTCTAGATTGCACAATGTTGGCAGCAGGAAAGAAATCTTGAGGACAAACCCACTTCACCCAAAATCCAGGTCACATCCTCCATTCTCCCTCCCCAGATATTTGTGTGGGAACTCTTCTCCTTGTCTTGACTTCCAAAGTTCCAAAGACACACTGGCATCTGTTACATAGTGTGTGAAACTTACTGCTTCAACAGCAGTACAACCACATATACCTTCAGGTTTCAGAATCAGTAAAACAAGCATGTCAAATCTTTACCTTCATTTAGGAGCCCTCTATCTCAATACTGCCTTACACTGGAGAAGACACGAAGGCTGTGTCAGTTTAACTATCAGAACATAAGCTGCTTGAGGACATAGACCTTACCCATTAGGCTAATTATGTGAATCACTTAATTCCACATGTATCGATGGTATTTATAGAGAGTTAGAATAATGTGGTGGTTAGGAGAACATGCTTAGTGTCAGACAAATTCTGGCTTAACCACTATCCATCATCTCACTGGGGACTTTGAGAAAGTGGCTCTATTGCTGAGTCTCCTTCGCCATCTGTAAAATCAGGATAATGACACCCAAGTCAAAGGGAGCTACAAGAACTAAATGAGGTTACATCTTCCCAATCCCCAGGTGTTTACTCTGCCACTTTCTGAAGCATCTCATAGGCCTCATCTCATCTTCACACCCACCCCTCCATAGCAGGTTCTCTCATTTCCTTCCCAAATGAGAAAACCCTACCTCAGAACAAAGTTCATCACAGAGCCAGGAATTACCCCAGGTCTGTGAGTCTGAAGGGTTGGCAATAACATTTTTATATAATGCCTGGCTCAAGAAAGTATTTAGGAAACAGACTTCTATTTTGCCATTATAATGATTCATGGTGCCAACTATGAATCCAGTATCTTCTAAAGGAAACTCCCAGGCTTTACTGAGCTCATGAGTAGCTTCCATGGGGGCCTGAGTGTTGGAAGATGCCCCTGGTGAGCAAGAACTTAACAAAAGAAAATGAAGTGGCAGTTAGTGGGCTGTTGGAAGAAAGGAGAAAAGAAGGATACTCTAAAGGCAAGAAGAAAAACAAATCGAAAATGACAAAGCTCCCCACATTTTAAAACTCTGATTATTTGGTTTATAGTCTTGGCCTCAATTTCAGAGAGAATTCACACTCAGGTAATTCTACCTATAATCTCACTACTCAAAGGGTGGTCCCACCAGCATTATCAGCAGCATCAGCAGCACCTGGGAGGTGGTTAGAAATGCAGAACCTTGGGCCGGCCCGTGGCTCACTTGGGAGAGTGTGGTGCTGACAACACCAAGTCAAGGGTTAAGATCCCCTTACCAGTCATCTTTAAAAAAAAAAAAAGAAAGAAAGAAATGCAAGACCTCGGCCTCCACCCCAGCCCCCCTGAAACAGAATCTGCATTTTATCAAGACCCCAGGTGACATATATACACACTGAAGCTGTAGAAGCACTGACCTATACTTCATCCTAGTTTGTTTACCTACGGTATACCTTTCCACCTGCACACCCAGTTTCCACAAGCAGGTTGGGTGTGCTAACCCTGCTAATTCCCATGGAGATTTTGTAAATGCTTGAAGTCACATTTGGATACAGCAGGTCACCAGATACACCTATTCCCAACAGGTTATTTGGACTAAGTGTCTCATTAGCCTTTTATGCTACTTTGCTTTGGAAGAGATCTTCATGTTAAACTACAAAAGGAGATTTTAAAAAATATCTTTTCTGGGCAGAGCTGGGCAACATTGATATCAGGCATCAATCCACTAAGATGAAATAAGTCATTCAATTAGAGGAATGAAATCAGGCCTTTAATCCAACACCATAGCAGCACCATCTGTGGAAATGCTAATTATCCTTCTAGCTCCAGCGCCTTTTCTTCCAACACTCTATCATTACCTTGGCAGTGCCTTCCATACCAAGGGTACCAAATGGCTCGAGGAAGGACATCAGTACCTTTAATGCCCGTGGCTAGCTTTAAACTCTCCTGCAATCTATTTTATTGCATTACAAATGATTTCCCTGCATTTATTTGTCTTTTCTACCCTGGCAAGCTCAGCCTCAAGTCACTGAGGATGCCTCCTGTCCCAGTTAAGTTTATGGCTGTAAAACTGCCTGACCAAACAAAGTCTACCACTTGTCAATAACTAGGATGCCAAATCACAGGTAAGGTGATGATACCCTCCCCCTGCAGATGGAAAGGGAGCAGCTATAAACTTACAATGTTTCCCATTAGCCTAATGAAGACTCCCAAACATCTGGTGGCTCTAGCAGAGAGCGATGAGGCATCAATGCCAGTCACAGCCACCATCAAAGAAAATGGTGTGCAGGTCAGAAGGCAGGCAGGCAGACTGGTACCAGACAAGGTATTACAGTGCCATCAGTCTAATTACAAAGGCATTTCAACAAGAAAAAGATGGTGCTGTCTGAAGCTGCTATTTCAGCATTCAATTCTCACAAAAAAAAGTTTCTGAGCCACTTTCAGAGGTCTTCAAAGAACCCACTCCATTTGCCAAGTCCTTAATGAGGAAGCTATCAGAGGAAAGATTTTTCAAGAGTCAGATTCCCGCAAAACCACATTCTCTTCAGCGTATCACGGGGATTAGAAGAAGGAATCTGTGTCAACAGGCGGGCCAAGCTGGATCACAGAACAGAAATACACAGGGGAGAACACAGATCTTAACTAGTTACTTTTAGTTTCAAAGTCAGCCGCAAGGATCCATAAAAACAACGCATTTCCTATGGAACTCTGCTAAAAATCAGACATGCCAAAGCCCCAGTACCTTCTGAACATGATTATAAGAGTTAAATTCGGGGGTGTACAGAAGGGTATACCACCTACATATCTACATGACAAACTCACCACTGACTTGTCTTGCAGTATTTTCCAAGTTTCAAAATACCTAGTTCAAGCCAGTTCCCTGGTTTCTTCCTAGGATTCATCAGTCTACATTTGGCAACAGAAGAGTCAGCCCATATGGCTTCTCCCTTAAACTTGCCTACAACCTGCTGGGTTCCCATACGTGGATTAGTAAATACTAGAAGGCTAAGGAGGGATTAGTTCTGTCTTTTTTTTTTTTTTTTCGTGTCCGGCAACAGATCACAACCCTCAGTGTCGCGCCCGTACCGGACCGGGACCGGCAACGGGATCGCAACCCTTCGGAGTTGGGCCCCCACCTCGCTCAGCCAGTGAGCGGGAACCGGTCTGTATGTGGGATCCGAACCCTCGGCGGGAGTGCCACCGCGCTCCCAAGCGGCGCACTGTAGCAGTGCGCCACCGGGCCGGCCCAAGGAGGGATTAGTTCTGAGCCTCATATAACTTTACTACCTTAACAGGAAAACAGTTCAGTTTAGCTATCCTGTTGGAATCATACCAGCTTTTTCTGAAATGTTTACAGTAACGCCTGGTGGAAGAGATCCAATAGCACAGATGATATAACCAAAAGCTTTTGTTCTTATTATCTATGTCAAAGCAAGACAATACCTTTTCTGTAATTAAGGCAGACCAAAAAAAACAAAGCAGAGGGATTCCGATCACCACAGATGAACTTGGTAAGTAATTCAGGAACATAATAAGACACAAATGGCAGCTGACCTAGGAATTAGGTAAAGCATAAGCCAGAGCTTGCAATTACTATTAAAGGTCTACCACTTATTGAACACCTGTTATTATAGGACACTGTACTAGGCACTCATATTTCTAACCACAATCCTGCGAGACAGGGTACAATCAGCCCCATTTTATAGAGGGGGAAATAGAGAAGTTAAGCAGCTTGACTAAAGTCACATAGCCAATACAAGGTGAAGCCAGAACTCTCATCTCTGATGTCGAAACCTACTCTCCTTCACCTTGCTCTGCACTTAAGAAGTCAGGCAGAAGGAGTAACTGGAACAGCCCTTCAGGGCCCCCCGGAGCCCACCCCATGGGGCTTTCATACCTCCAGTCAGTTCCATTGTTAACTTTTCATTTTCAATCATTTTCTTCTTTTCTTCCAGCTCAGCAATCAGGTTCTCTTTCAGCTCAACCTTCTTGTCTTCAAATTCTTTCACTGCTGCCTTCTTTTCTTTAATGTAATTTCTTTCTACTTGTTCAGTCTAAGCAAAAGAGAAACACGGGCTAGGGGTACCTGGCCTTGGCAGCCAGGGCTCCAACTTGAAGTAGGGCTCTGCCCTCAACAGCAAAGAATATACCTTTACTAAAAACATGAGAAATATAGTCTCACTTGCACATGCAGTAACAAAGCATCTAGGAGCAAGTTTTCCAATGAATTAATGCACTAAAAAAATAAATATGTATATATTGAACCACATGACTTTTGCTTGTTTTTGCTACTCAGGTATCACCTCTCTTCAACATCTTATATTTAACAGCTTCTATGTTAAAACAGAACATACATTTCTCAAAGATAATAAATAATCCCTTTTAAGGATACAATTTGAAAGATTACAGATGAAACATCTACATTCAAAATTAATTACAAGATATTGAGGACAGATGGCACAAGTTGCTATTATTTTTGATACTTACGGTAAGAAAAAAGAGCAATACATGATTTATTAGGTGCCTGAACCCTGGCATACTGAAATATTAAAACTGTCCTAAAATAAAAATTGCATAAATGCTCACTTTTAAAATTAAGTGTCGGGAGTGGGGGGTTTATGGAGGGCTGCAGGTGTGGATTGTGTGACCTTTCAGGCTGTGAGTGACTATGTGCATTGAACTGATTTCGTTAAAAAAAAAACAGGTTCCAGTAGTGTGGCTCTGATAAACCATGATCTTTTCAAAAAGCACCCACCACACACATGCTAGCCACCCCATGAGCAGTACAACATGAAAGATTCAGGCCCTCATCTCTGTACTGTATCACTGAGCCTGACAAAGAACAGGCACTCAGGTGTCCATGGAAGGAAAGGAAAAATTAAAAATCTATCATTCCTACTGGCCCGGAGAGTTTCAGCTGTAAAACAAAACCACTGAGCCAATTCATAGATTGGGCTACTTCAAGGACCAATATCAAATTATTAGGTCATCATAATTCAGAAATACTTTCAAACGGCTTTAATGTAAAATAAAAGTTAACAAGAAAGCAGGGAGGGGTAAGTATTCTTTAATCCCCTGTGATAAGCAGAGGCTGCTCAAACAACAAAAAAATAGAATGCCTGAATTGAGACCAAATGTCCTTTAGTCAAAGAGAACAGTGGTGAAGGCTTCCAAACTATCTATTTGGTGACAGAAGGAAAGGCCACCAGATTGGGAGAGCAGGATTCCAGTCTCAGAAAGAGCTTGCAAATCCAGAAGACCTGTGGTACTTACTTCCAGTTGGAGGAAGAGTTCTGAAAGAGATAAAAAGTGCAATTAGATTCACTAGGCTGTGTCACCTTTCTGGACAGTGATGTTAAGATTTATTTAGAAGTAGTAATTGCTTTCTGAAAGTGTGTTACAAAAAGCAAATGTTTTCCTCAGCAAAGTGTTGATATACATGAAGGGTAAGGATGCAAGAAGTACTCATGTCTAGTTAAAATTTGGCCCTGAGTAGAATCAGCTCTGGCAGCTCTGTTGGAGGGCAAAACCAAGCAGCAGTAACTTTAAAAGTTATCCCTTCTTTCACTCAGTCCACATCCTCCAACAGTTCCAAAAAACAGCAAGATGGGCCAGGAAGAAACAATGCAATTACCCAGAATCAAAGTCCACGTTGATGACCTCAAAGCACTGTGTGAACGACTGTGTGTGATAAGTAAGAATATTCCCAGAAAATCCAAAGACAGAGGTCCAAATCCTCCTAGGGCTTTACTCTCAGCCCACCAAGCTCTGCTCACACCAATTCCTCTGCTAGCAATGCCCTTTGGCCTCTCTGATCACATTCCGAAGTTCCTGATCCAATGCAGCTCCCTCCCTGAGGCCCTTCCTGACAGCCCTTCACTTATCAATCCCCTGTCACCTTAAAATATTCACCCAACAGTATTCAACAGCTTATTTAGGACCTGCTATGTGCCACGCAATCAGTAACTGTTTACCAAGGAGCTCCCCCAACCACTAGATTGTAAACCCCTCTGCAAACCCAGTACCTGAATCAAAATAGGTCTGTGGCTTCTAAGTTTTTCTGGGTAACAGTTGGGTCTGCTGCATACAAAGATTGTTGGGAGACCCATGACCACAGGTGGTGCTATTCACAGTCTACCATGGTCCCCTTTACAAACCTGATAAATCCTATGGACCCATTCCCCAGAAAAAAAGCACATATGTACATTCACACATACTCCATAGAATTTTGGGAGTTCTAGAAACCCCAGAATAAGAGTCCAGATGTCAATTAACAGTTGTTGAATGAAAAAATTAATTGAGGAACAGGAGAAGCCACTCATTATTTTCTAGCCCCTAGACTCTCTAATCACTTTGGCACTGGGAATCACCAGGCACATGAGCCCAACCACACCCAGCCCAACATGCTCACTCCTGTGACTGCTTCCGACCTGTACCATGCACAAACGAATCAGACATCTGCAGTCCTGTGCCATTCCAAAAAAATCACACCTTGCACAAACAAGTCAAAATGACAATTAGCACTTAGAGCTGACAGTCGTTCTTTTAGTTAAAGCAGGTGGATTATCTCTACACAGAATGTGCTTTTTAAAGCTCAGTTGTGACTGATTTAGGAGCTCTTCTGCATTTTTAACTGGCGGGAAGAAATGTTTATGAAAGAATACATGAGGACAGGATTAAGAGTCTGAGAGTAGAATTAAGAAAAACAACTCAATACTCACCCTGCTGTTCTAGCTTAAGAAAAATGGCTCCCATCGATTTTCTTTCCTTACTTCCTTATTTCCCTGACGAATCAGTACTTCCCTCTACAGATAGGGAAACTGAGACTCTAAGAGCAAATACCCTGCTTAAAGGCACAGACTTCAAGTAGTGGAGGCAGGATCTGAACCTAGAACCATCTCTTTCCACAGTGCCACCTCCATTACCCACCGAAGGGAAACTCCAGGAAGAGGGTTGAGGATTTTAAAGATGTTCCAAGGCAACTTAAAGAGTGCAGCAGGGGTAGCAGAGAGCACAAGCACAAGCAGGATGTAAATGGGCAGAGGGTTGATAGCTGTGGCTCCATTTTCCCAGCACCCACCGAAGGGAAACTCCAGGAAGAGGGTTGAGGATTTTAAAGATGTTCCAAGGCTGTGCCTCAGGAACTTAAAGAGTGCAGCAGGGGTAGCAGAGAGCACAAGCAGGATGTAAATGGGCAGAGGGTTGATAGCTGTGGCTCCATTTTCCCAGCACCCCCAGTTCCTTCAGCTCCTTTAGTATCTGTTGGTGCACATTAGACACCTTCTCAGTAGGGGGAAAGAATGAAGCTTTCCATTAATAGAAAGTTGGCAATTCGCTGGATCAGAACTCGAGAGGAAAGCAGCATGAGAAGCGGCACCTAGACCTGATTTTAAAACCCAACATTACTTCTACCATTACAGGAACTAGCATCCTGCTGGAACTCAAAATGCTGGCTGATGATGAGCTTTAACATTCAACACATATGAAAGATTTCCTGTAAGCTCAGGAATCCGTATTTACATACTTAAAACAGTTGTCACATCTTATTTTCTGCATGATTCTTTATTTAACTCACATTACTCCTTGACTTTACATGTGTGGTTATCTTTTGTCCATGAAACAGTGAGTTTCCTAAAGTCAAGGACAATGTTACATGACTTTACATTGCTCAGTGCTTAAATATAGCAGATGCTCAACATATCTGTTGAATGAATACATTTACTGTACACAGCAGACCGAAAGCAAAAGCATGCTCTTTTTCTCTAAATGCTTATAACGCAATACTTTGGGGAAATAACAAGAGGACATCCTTCCTTCCCAGAGCACAGAACAGCAAAAGAAACAAACTTAAAATGGGAGTAGGGACTAGCTGGTAAGCTCAGTGTGTTAGAGCACAGCCTTGTATCACTAAGGTCAAGGGTTTGGTTCAAAACGGGAGTGAAGTTACCTACAATCCTTTTCCACATCAGTACCTCCAACTGTCCATTCAGCCAGCCATACAGACATGAGCAAGAAGGTGCAAGGCTACCCTTGGGGCACCAGAGAAAACAACCTAATGCAAGGAGCCACTGACATCCTCAACTACCAGGCTATTCTTCAGCCACTGGAAAAAAAGATGAACCAATTTTACTTAAATGTGGCTTTGGAAGCTCTCTTCCTGAAAATTCTCCCCATAATGGAATATCTGGGATACTTTGAAGAAAAGCTCTTAGGGCCATATTACAATGATAATCAGAAGGTGGAAAATTTAATGATGATTTATTTCCATTTTAAAGAGCCTTACCTGCATTTCGTATCCTCTCTTTGTACTGCTGATCTAGTTTTTTCATTCTCTTCTGATATTCTTGTAACGTACCTGATTTTGAACATTGACAAAATAAAGTTATTCTGAAGATCAATCTGCTTCATATTTTGTTTCCTAAAATTATTTTCTAGCACCAACAGTGACTGTTGTAGTAACACCACAGTAAAACACAAACCAAGGAAAGCCATACCTAAGCAGAGTTAACAACTCTTGTTCTCAACCAAGGCACACAGCAGAAACCACCTGTGGCCTATTGGGAGTCCATCCCAACCTAGTGAATTAAGACGCTCTAGGGAGGGAGAGTAGAAAGGTGGAGAAACCCCCAAGCAATTCTGATCACTTGCTCCTACGGTCCAAGACAATGGGCTTGGACTGTTTTGAAAAAATCTCATTCTCCTTCAGTAAGGTCTACATCAACGCTGTCCAGGAGAACCTTCTGCAATAGTGGCAATGTTCTATATTTGCACTATCCAATACAGTAACCACTAGTCACATGTAGCTATTTAGCACTTGAAACATGGCTAGTGCAACTGAGGAACTGAATTATTAATTTTAATTAAATTTAAATAGCCACATGTGGCTAATGATAACACTAGACAGCTCAGGTATCGATAACCAAAACAAATCTCTATTCATTTCATTGCTCTTCCCCAAAGTAGCTAATTATGAGGGTCCCAACTTGTGGGAGAATTGTCTCCTGATCATAATGCTTGTCCATGGGATCGTCCAAGGGAGTAGATCACCCACAAGCAATAAAAGTGCCAGGTGGAAAGGCAATTTCACTGACTGGGGAACTCCACAACATAAAGCCAAAGAGCTAATGGCAGCAGCTCAACATCCCCAAATTCTCATGGTGTGCCTAACATCATACTAGACATTCCTCGTGCACAATCTCATCTACTCTTATTTTCTTCATTTCGCAGATGAGAAAACAGATTAAGCAAGAGAAAGTGACATACCCAAGGTCACATTACTAGGAAGTAGTGAAATTGGGATTCGAACCCATCGTGGAACTCAAGAGGCTGTGTTCTGAACTGCCTTCAAAAGCAAAAGCATTTGACAAGATACCATCTATTTTTAATTTACCAAGCAAAAAGAGAAAACAGTGTGGGTAACCCACAGTTCATTACCATTTGTTTTAGAAAAAATAGTAAAACTTTATTTATTCTTTGGTAACAATGTCCTTCCTAAAAATATCTAGCTTTAGGCACAGTGGTCTTCATCAGTTCATGCTCTACAGAAAGCCCCAAATGAGATTCCATCTGAAGAATTTACTATGTATTGAAAATAAATACATGAAAAATAAAAGCTTTTGGAAATCACTTTACTGACAGCAAAGGAGAGCAAAATTTGTGCCAGACAGCTAAAATCAGCCAGACCAAATTTTAAATCACTACCATAGAGAAGTGAAATACAGACTTCAAAGGTTTGTAATATTAAGAAGTATACTTAGAAATGAAGGATTCAATCACACACACACCTTCCTGTAGTTGTTGCAACTGCCTCTTGAGAGAAGCCAGTTTGTCCTGATACATCCTGTAAAAAAAAAAAAAGAAAAGCTACACTGAAAGACAAAAACATTCAATACTCAACTCCAAAATAATCCACATAGGAATTGCCTGGCTTGTTATAGGAATGTAATTAACATCTGTTAGGAGAAAGAGGAAACTTCACTGGTTTAAAATGTACCAGCAGCTACAGGAATCAGAAAGGGAAAAGCTACACTGAAAGACAAAAACATTCAATACTCAACTCCAAAATAATCCACATAGGAATTGCCTGGCTTGTTATAGGAATGTAATTAACATCTTTTAGGAGAAAGAGGAAACTTCACTGGTTTAAAATGTACCAGCAGCTACAGGAATCAGAAAGGGACAAGGACTCTGTGTTCCTAAATCATAACCTAACTTTGTAGATTCTCCTGTTGTTATCCCACCTTTAGAGAACTAGTCTAAAATCTGCAACAATGAAGATAGACTTTAACAAGGACAATGATAGAGTTAGGCAGGAACATACAAAGAAAAATCCAAAGTGTGATGACATTTTCTTCCTGATTTAGAAGTGTAAGTAATATACACACAAAAATGTAGAAATGGCATTAAAAACAACTCATATCAACTCTACAATTAGGTTATAAATTTCAAAGGAGTAAGATTATGCTTTCAGCATGTTTTTCCATAGAGATAGCACAGCTGTGTAGGCACTAAGTCAATAAACCATATCATTTTTTAAAACACTACTCTTTTAGGATCAGAGAAATAATAGGAATTCAGAAACAAGTTAAAATGCACAATTTGCAGCCTCAGCTGGATGAGAACATAGAGCACACACAAAGCAAGAGAACTTGGCATGTTTTTTTTTTTCCCGTCTCACACCCAGTGAAGTATAAGCAATTACACACTCTGGCAAGTCTGTGTGAACGGTGGATTCCACAAGCAAATCACATTTTTGCTTCTACCTGAAGAACACCTCCAATTTCACAGTAACAAAAACAAAAAGGATTTGCAACCTAAAAGAAGGACTTCTGATTGCTTAAACAAGGGCTGCAAATACAAGCCAACCCTATGCAGATGGAGGAAAGAGTAGGCAGAACCTGAGAATCACACAGGAGGTCTGACTCTCTTAGGGCAAATTCTGATGTACTCTCAAAAGATGCTCACCTTGATTTACACAAGACATTCGATTTTAATCAAAATTTTCTATATCACCAAATCTTAAGGATGTACTTTTGATTAAAAGATCATCTCAAAAAATGCTCAAACATATCAGGTAGAGGAGAGGGAATGAGTGAGTAAACTTCACAGAAGTCAATATTTGGAACTCAGGGTATTACATTTTCTGCCATTTTGAGGGTGCCAGCCAATACCTTTGAATTCTGAGGCTGTCTCTGAAAGGGAATATGGACAGATGGAAGAAGTAAACAGAATTTTTTTAAAAAATCAGATTCTTTGAGATCATGTACAGGGAAAAGAGTAGGTACGTGAAAATACATCTCAATTAGGTCACGGTGAATCAGTAAAAAAGCTTGAAGGAAATAAAAGCAAGCACAGTTTCAGGGATGAAACTGTGAGAAAAATCACATGAATTATTAAAGCAATCCTTCTTTATTCAGCACTAGTCAGACTTAGCTGAATTACCCCTTTGGGTTCCAAAGCTTGAAAAGATGACAAAATCCAGAGGATGGCCACAAAATATTTGCAAATAGCACCTAGAAGGAAAGGAATGTGGATCAGATGGCCACAAAACATTTGCAAATAGCACCTAGAAGGAAAGGAATGTGGATCATCTAGTTTAAAAGAATCTAAAAAATCAAATCAAGAGCCTCAAAATGGATTCAACAAATACTTATTGAATATATCTTATATTGGCTTGTTTCTCTAGGCACAACTGGC